CTCTATCACTAAAAGGATTCTTTTATGTTCATAATGTTCCAAAAACATATTAAGTTTTCTTTATTTAACAATGTAAGTATTGAAGATATTAAAATGCTACCTTAATGGTATGCAATTTAACATAATCATACATATTTTAAGATATGAAAAAGATTATATGTAGATATTTTAATATTATGTATTAAAAAAAATAAGCAAAGCGATAACGAGTATAGATTGTGTTTTTCTAAAAGCTTGTTCGATCTATTATGAACATTGAAATATAAATACATAAATACAATTGAAGTGTATGTAAATGCGAGCTTTAAATAAGATTAACTGGATGTTTATCGAGTTAGACAGCGATATTGAGTGAATGCGCTGGGCGCATGACCTTCCGCCGCGCGTGGGCCGAGCCCATGACACAGTTCACGAGATGTTCCACTACACACGATTATTTCTGTCCCATATTTTCCATTTAAATACCCTATTATAGAGCTGATTACATATTTAATAATTAATTTTGATTAAAAGAATTAATAGAATATTAAATGAGGGTGAATCTGTTACTGTTGTTATTTTACTCTCGTATGATATATTTTTTTAATTGCTATAAAAAAAAAACAAATCATCATTTTTAAGAAATCATCAAAATCATTACCTAATACGTTTTTATCTTTAGATAAAATTCCCAGTTACATGAAGATTAATTTTTTGCTCGTTTTAATGAGGCAGTCAAGTGCTCACAGACTTGCTTGGAACGTTTAAGCGTAAACATTTTTTTACACGTGGTCCTTTTTATAATTTTAATTAGATTATCCCATAATAGTTTATTATTAAATTTTAGTTTCTTAAAAAACCATTATTGACAGTTAAGTAAAACATGTCAAAATGACATTCTGTTAAGAACTACGAATAAAAACTTATTATTTCTTCGTAGGTTAGGAATGGTTGATTAATCAGTGTTTTCCATTGTCAAATGCGTCGAAAACAAAGGCGTTCTTTGTCGGCTGATAATTGTTTCGTAGCCGGCTTATCTCTGATACACGGTCACCGACCCTAAACGTTCCCGGATAGCTTGGCATAATAAACTATAAAGATTTGTAGTTCTGATTTAATTACTTTGTAACCGACTTCAAAAAAGGAGGAGGTTCGTCGGAATATTTTTTTTTATGTATGTTCACCGATTACTCGAAGACGCCTGGGCCGATTTGGAATTTTTTTTTGTTTCAAAGGGTATACTTCCCAGGTGGTCCCATATAAATTTTATCGAAATCGGTCGAGCGGTTTTAAAAAAAATCAACAATAAATTATTTTTTTAAACAAATTGTTTAATCGAATATGTTATTAAAAAACTTTCGTCTTACAAATTACCTGCTCATTACGTCTGCACTAAAAATGGAAAAATAAAAACTAAAAAAAAAACCGACTTCCAGGCACTAAGATGTAAAAAATAACTAAACGAGGAGATTCATTTAAAATAGATACCTAATCAGATATTTTCGAAGTCGGTGCCAGGCGACAATATTTTAAGATTTGAATATCTTATAGGTAAATAGGTAATTTACGTATCGAAATATATTAGATTTGCTTTGCATCGGCTGGCACTGACTTCGAAAATATCTCATTAGGTATCTATTCTAAATGAAAACCCCCGTTTAGTCATTTTTTACATTTTAGTGCCTGAAAGTCGGTTTTTTTTAAGTTTTTATTCATTCATGAACATTTAAAAAAATGTTTCTTTAGTAATAGTTTGATATTATGTTTGTACGTCTGATATATAATAACGATGTAAGCGCAACAAATAAAATTGTGACATAAATGATATTGTCTTCAAAATACTACATAAAACGCGACCTACTTCAAAATAAACGTTTTCCTCTTTGAGGTAAGACTTATCCTCTTAAATTATAAAACGTTAATGACCTATAAAATGAAATAATTTGTTTATATTTTACAGTGGTTTATTATTTCCTCATTATAAAAGTATAAGACATGAATATAATTTATAATACATATTATGGTTTGTTATATTAAATGTTCAGTTTATGTAGCATCTATAATACGTATCTATTACGATATTATGCCATATTTTAATAGATTTAATAGAATATTCTTAGATAAACCCTTCATCGTATCGACCTAGTGTCTCGGTCATTATGAAATGCTTTATCAGGTTTAAGAACAAAGAGTCGTTGACCCAGTTGGTGGCGAGTCAGTCTTAATTAGCCCTTACGACGAACGCTCGATGGACGATAACTCATTGACGTCACCTAAACGCGCCTTGACCTACTTTCCCGTTCTGTATAGCAATTTTATAGAATTAGGTTAATAAATAAACCACTACGATTATGAGTTAGTCTAACTTCTTGTAACTGTACTGTAATAGGTTGGGTTCAGAGTGCAATATACAAGTGTCAAGGGCGTACAGATAATACGAGTAGGTACGGTGTCGACGTCTGCAGCTATTATGGTAACGAGGTCGCGCGACGTTGGACAAGGGCTTTTAAATTAAGTATTAAAGTACCTAAGTATATATTTAAATAAAAAAATAAGATATACTTGGATGTCATAGTATGAAGATAATGAATGGACAAACGAACATTACGTAAAGTACAAAACCTATAATATATAACTAATATAAATCTACGTTTCATGTAATGGGATTCGTGCAGCTGCCACAGGTTTCAGAACTTCAGGGAAGCATGCGGCGTTCATTCTAATTATACCTCCCTTCCTTTACTATTTACCCATTCCCATGTTTACTCGAAAAGGCGTGGGTGCACACCTCGTCAGTACTAAATTAGGAAACAGACAGAGACAAAAATACGTCACTGACTTTTTAACACTCGAGAAAAAGAGAGACCCGCTGTAATCTAGTACTGTAAACACGCACAGCAGAACGTTGGGGAGCTGTGGCATATCCATTACGTCCAGCTATGTACATACTTTCGTGTACGTGATAACTGATATCCACTTTCGACTTTACGACTCTACGAGTGACGAAATGTTAAGAGAATGTTGTATTTAAACAATATGGTCACTGCGTTCTACTTTATCGTTTACTTTAGGGTCGTATGATATAATAATTATAGAAAAGACTAGCAACTGCCCGCGGCTCCGCCCGCGTTTAGATGACCAAAAACCAAATTGTTAGGTTTTGCATATTAGTATACTCTTACATTGCAGTTTTTGTATTTTTTCTTAAATATGAGATATTTTCCCGCGGTAAAAAGTATCCTATATGTTGACACGGATAACCAGCTATCACCATACCAAATTTCATCAAAATCCCTTCAGTGGTTTTTCTGTGATGCGGTAACAGACAGACAGACAAAAGTTCTAAAAACTATAGATTCGGCCTCTGTATCGATAATAATGTTTATTTCAATAATATTTTCCAAAAAATATCTAATGTACAGATTCGGCTTGGTTACAATTTTATTATATGTATAGATTACACTTTTAACGAAACTGTTGATAGAACTCAATTTCAATTTTAATGTGGAAACTAAAACTTTTAGTAGGTAATGATTTGGATACCAAATAAACGTAGGTATTTTTGAATACATTCCAGCTGGCATTACAATACAATTTAGAAACATTTTGAGTATTGAATTAATGTGATTTGAATTACAAGTTACACGCCAGTTTTGACTATACTTTTATCCATGTTTATATGAATATCATGATTTTAAGTTAGTTTAGTGAAATAAATGAATATGGTAACTCAATGAATGGGATCAGATATGGTAACATAAATAATCGAAGTTTCCACGATAGCGTGTGACGTGAAAATGGCGATTTTCACCGCACGCGATTTCTATTTCAATCCAATTTTCCCGGCGCGTGGAGAAACCGATCGCTCTAGTTGCGCCGGCTTCGGCCCACATCTCTTGCTAGAAAGTATTGTAGAAAGTAATATTATGATTAGATCTCCGACCAACCGATACATCGATCACGTGTCTTTTTTTGCATATATTTTTGCGATTACTAATACATTATAAATTAAAATACATCAAAATTTGCACTTTTCTTGTGCATAACAACTACTTAGTACACGGGGCATGTACTGCGTTACGCTTACTTTCCCCGCACCCGAATTTCAATGAGGCCTACTATAGACTTGTGCAATACCTAAGTTTGGGCAACTTTCACCAACTAGTTGTCGCTTACGCGGTACGCCTGCGAAATGATTGCGCCGCCTGTTGCTGAGGTCATAGCGAAAGTGAGTATTGTTCAATCGACAACACTTTCAGAATCTTCCTTCATCTATGGTCTTGAACTAATGTTAGAGAGAATTTTAATAAATTTATATTTTGTAGCTTTCGCAATACTTAAAAATTTTTTTTATGGACTTTCTCTATGGGTTGTTATATTGTATAGTAATTCTATGTTTTTTTTCGTGTCAAAGTACCCAATAAACTTGTATATAAATATATATATTAAGAATTTCCTTTTAGTAGTTTTATTATTTATTTATTTATTTATTATAAATGCTATAACTTTTTTTACAGTTTTAAAAAAAAGTTCTAATACCGTTACATATATATTTTAGCAACAGTAATTTTCTCACGTTTATGTAATGTTAGATAAATTCACTTCCGTGAGAGAACGTCGTCTTCCAAATTTTTTCTTGCTTATGTTTGTTTGGATAAAAAGGCATTTTATAATACCTATCTCAATAATTACAATTTATCTCATAATATACTTTGAAATTATAATTTATTCGTATATATTTTATACAAGATAATTATTGACTTTATGTATGTATTTTGATATTATATTAATTAAGCTTATTTAAAATATATTTGTACAAAAATTGCATGGATGAAAACTGCCTAAAGTAGGTACTCAGTAAAGAAAAGATATAAGAAAACATACAAGTATAATCACAACAAACCATTTTGATATATTAAATAGGATTGTCAACTTTTACCAAGTTTGGTAATACTTGAAAGAACAGACCTAAAGGAGTGAAAAAGCCACAATCGCGTGAGAGGAAAAACGAGTTATTATTAGCTGGTAGAGAATCGCGAGCTTGCTTTGAGCTCAGATGCTATCATAAATAATGTGGCGGCGGTGAACGTTGAAGGAGGGCAGGGGGAGGGCGGTACATAAGAGTCAAGGCCGCACGCTGCCCCCGGTCGACGCTCGCGCCCCACTTGTCGCTCACCGTCTTCTCGCTCTACCGGCCGAACAGAGCCGATACGCCTCGAACGGCTACGAACTAGACCTTCTATGCGCGCGCGCACAGCTGAGACGTAACAACATAACACACTGACTCGGTCATCCGTGCATTCAACTTTTGATTGGCTTTCTTTTTCATGGCTATTTGATTGGTTGTTTGTAATGAACATTTGTCAATATCATTTTTTTACATTTGCTATTCGTTATAATAAATAAATGACACCAAAAGTCGACCTTGTGTGACTAAAATAATTGGTTTTTACACTTTATTGTTATATCATACTTTTATTCAATGTTTATTTTTATAAAATAAATCAGGAGTACTTGTACACCTATAATTTTACTTCTGCGCATGTGAATCTATATAAGGCGAAAGTTCTGATTAATTTAACGTTTGTGAATACTAATGGACATTGAACACGTCGACAATCTACATTCCATACGGATGAGAAACCACAATGTACGAGTATAACCGGTAGACCAAAATGCAAGTTATATTTTTTATACTAAAGTTACCATATAAAAATGGTATCTTAGTACCTAATTTTGTGATAAGTATGATTATTATAATATAATAACACGTTAGATACTTTTTAAAATGACAAACATAAAATGTTCTATGGACCGAACCAGTTCTAGCCATCTCGTACACTTTCACCATGTTCGATGAGTTGCGTCAACATAATAACCCACTAAATGACATAATCATCACATTTCAATTTTGCAACTTTCAAATAGTTATCATTAAATATCGCTTTTTATTTAACTGATTATTATTTTATTAAATTATAAATGCGAAGGATTTAGCGCAAATTATATGCGCTCATATGGACAAATTTACTTTTTCAATGCAAAATTTTAAAGAGTTACAGAACAGGTTTTTGTTTTTTAAGATTGTCGTTAATTTAACAAGAAAATTAGTGTCAATGACAATAATCATTAAATTATTTTAGTTTGCCAGTGCCAGCTTTAAGCCTCTGACACCTTCTGGCTACTGTCCCAAACAAGACTAGTTTTTTGGCAAGAATTATCTAAGTCGATTGCGCAACTCAGGTAAACGGTGAAGGGCACCGACCCGCGTCACCGTGGCTTAATGGTCACGATAAAAAGTAAATAAAAATAATTACTAGAATACAGCCTTTCACGGTTGGGTTAATGCGCTTAAAAGTTAATCCTCACATAAAAACAGGCATGAATTTGTTTGTTCAGACACCGTACGTTATGACTTGTTAATGTTTTATAAGTTTAAGCTATATAACAGATCACATAATACTATGTATATGTATATATATAAAAGTAAACTCTGAAACGAATCGTCAAAAAAATAGTTTAAAAGTTAGTTAGTTCTTTTATGGCAAGACGCAAAATAAGTTTAAGTATTAATATATTATTATTAGAGGCATACAACTGAAGGACGTATTTTACGAAATTTAAATTGCCAAATAGACACTTAACGTAACTTTTTATAATGGCAATATTATTTGGCTACACTAATGTAAGAAAATATCAATGACTATGCCAGTTTAAGCAATAATAATAGTACAACGTAATAAACTTGCAAACTTAGTGATACTTTTTAAGGAGTTCCGACTGCGTGATTGACAATTGTCCATTTATTTTCCATTGCGCATCGTATTGCCTACTCCTACATGCACCTTGAATACCAAACTAATACGCCAAAAGTCTTTAGTATGCGGACAGTGATTCTCGTCACCTTTTGTTTGGGCAGGAAACGTTCGATCTACCGCCAAAATTACTTGTTTAAATTTCATTACCGAAAAATATCTTCTGAGTTTGGATATAAAAATAAAAATCAACTGGTCTTCACTCATCCGCCGTCCCAGTATATGGTTCAAAATGTATGTAAATTTTATAGCATCCGATTTTAGATGTCCTCAACACTCGTCGCCGACGGTCCACCGACTCGAACTTCATTTATTGCGCAGTTGCACTAAAGTGCATCTCTTGAATAAACTACTTGTTATGTTGCATAATACATCTAAAACTCCAGACATATATAATAATACTGTATTCAAATAATATTTTAAAAAGCAGTATTTAAAAAAAAAACATATTTCTATTTTTTCAGGTCGTGAAGAACTGTCACCGGCATCTAGTGTGAACGGTTGCAGCACAGATGGCGAGGCACGGCGGCAAAAGAAAGGACCAGCGCCTCGGCAACAAGAAGAGCTTTGCCTCGTTTGCGGTGATAGAGCCTCTGGATACCATTACAATGCGCTCACATGTGAAGGGTGTAAAGGTAATTCTGAAATTGACATTGAATCTATCCACACTTATCATTTTAAGTAACTAATCGACCTCCTTATATTTGCGTTGTTGCCAATCTAGCAAGCCCTTACCTAATAGGCGCCCACGACTGCTCCCAATTAGTACTGAATTGGCGCATTGTGCCGCTTATCAAGTCTGTTAGCTAAGCGTACACATTGAATCTGAGTCGAGACATAACGTCACAATAGCCGTCTGCTGCCCGTCTACTTCTTGATTCATCCAATTCACCAACGTTGTTGTTGTCACAGTTAAGCTTTCGTATACATTAGTGAAAATATTTACATTAAACAAATTTACATTTAATTATTTCAGGATTCTTTAGGCGGAGTGTCACTAAAAATGCAGTATACATTTGCAAATTTGGACACGCGTGTGAGATGGATATGTATATGAGGAGAAAATGCCAAGAATGCAGGTTAAAGAAATGCCTTGCAGTGGGCATGAGGCCAGAATGTGTAGTGCCGGAAACCACGTGCGCGATAAAGAGAAAAGAAAAGAAGGCACAGAGAGAGAAAGACAAACTGCCAGTCAGTACAACGACAGTAGACGATCATATGCCGCCCATAATGCAATGTGATCCACCACCACCTGAAGCTGCCAGGATTGTAAGTTACTATATTTTTATTAAAATATGTTGCCAGTAGTATGGTGGCTCATTAAATAAAATCCCAATATATTAATTTTAAAATATGTAATTTATTTACAAAATGAGGATTGGGGTTCAAAGACATTATGTTAATTCAAAATGCTTTGCTCTTTATTCTCTTATGCTTTCCCCATAAGGGCTAGTATTATTTTGTAGATGTACATTTTTAGAATTGTAACTGAGTAATTAATGCATGCCAAATATTTGCTTTCTTCGTAACCACCAGCAACAAAATATTAATGTTTGTTGTTTCCTACGTGAAGCTGGAATGTTTGCAGCATGAAGTGGTCCCGCGATTCCTCTCGGAAAAACTCCTGGAGCAGAACAGGCTGAAGAATATCCCTCCATTAACGACGAACCAGCAGTTCTTAATCGCAAGGCTCGTCTGGTACCAAGATGGATATGAGCAGCCCTCCGACGAAGACCTGAAAAGGGTTACTCATGTGGGTTCCATTTCGCATAACATTCTTATCATAATTAAAAATATTATACAGACATTTGTTTGAATTTCATTCACTTATTATTTGCAAAAACGTCTCTGCTTATTTCATTTATTCATAATCTACATTTTATTAGAATATTTGTTCAGTTGTGGAAAAAGAGTTGAAAATGTTTCAAAAATGAATGAAATTCGTAAAGTACGCAATTTGATTTGTTTAGACTTGGCAGGAGCCCGAGGACGACGAAGAAGAGTCCGATTTGCCATTCCGTCAAATCACAGAGATGACTATCCTGACCGTGCAACTGATCGTCGAGTTCGCCAAGGGCCTACCCGGATTTGCCAAGATATCTCAGCCCGATCAAATTACCCTTTTAAAGGTAAGCACGAGAATATCATATACATTTTATTTTTATCTACACATATAATAAAATTGTAATTAAGTCAAATCTGTACATTAAATATTTCTTGGAAAATCTTATTGAAATAAACATTATTATCGATACAGAGGCTGAATCTATAGTTTTTAAAAATTTTGTCTGTCTGTCTGTTACCACATCACAGAAAAACCATTGGAGGGATTTTGATGTAATTTAGTATGGTGATAGCTGGTTATCCGGCTCAACATATAGGATACTTTTTATCGCAGGAAAATATCTCATTTTTGAGAAAAAATACAAAAACTGCATTGTACGAGTATAATAATATGTATAACCTAAGGATTTGCTTTTTTTTATTTTTATTCCACCCACAAACGTTCGCATTTATAACATTATTAGTGTAACATATCAAACAGCATTTCTAAACTAAACTAATCTAAAAACATAACCAGGCATGTTCAAGTGAAGTGATGATGCTTCGAGTGGCCCGGCGGTACGACGCGTCGACGGACACCGTGCTGTTTGCCAACAACCGCGCGTACACTCGCGAGAACTACCGTAAGGCGGGCATGTCGTATGTCATCGAGAATCTGCTGCACTTCTGCCGCTGTATGAACACCATGGCTATGGATAATGTGCACTATGCGTTGCTCACAGCCATTGTTATATTCTCAGGTATTTTTTTCTTTCTTTTTTGAGTTTTTATAGACCAAATAGTGTATCTGTGGTGGTCGTAGACGTTATAAGTCCATAAGATCATTTAGTATTCGATTGCTAAGCAAAGATTATTGTGATACTTATTGAATATGTAAGATAAGTCTATTGAAATCATATTCATGTTTAATATTAGAAAAAAAAACATGGAAAAACCTATTTTAAATTTACTCAGTTCAAAACATAATACAGTTTAGTTTTTGTAATATAATTCTTGAAACGGCTAATACATTATTGATGTATAACGATTCCACGATTACAATTCCAGATCGGCCCGGGCTCGAGCAGCCGCACTTAGTAGAAGAGATACAGAGATATTACATAAACACTTTGCGGGTGTACATCATCAACCAGCAGAGCGCGTCTACTCGCTGCCCAGTACTCTTCGGCAAGATCCTGTCCATACTCACGGAACTTCGGACCTTGGGCATGCAGAACTCCAACATGTGCATCTCCTTGAAATTGAAGAACAGGAAGCTGCCACCGTTTTTGGAGGAGATATGGGACGTGGCGGAGGTGAACACGTCGGTGCCGGCGCCCGTGGTGGCGACGCCCGCCGACCTCTAGCCCGCGCGCCCCGCGCCCCGCCCCGCGCCCCGCCCCGCGCGCCGCCCCGCCCCGCGCCCCGCCCCGCGCCCGCGCGGCCTCTAGCCTCGCTGCTGATGGAGAGAACGCTCATAGACTGGCTAGTTTAAGTGAAGTGCACGGACACCGACGTGTGATGATCGTGGACGCTCGGACGAAGTATTTATAAGCCACGTGCTGGTGGAAGTGTTTAGTGAATATACGTGCTGTTGAACGTTCGGAGAATATATTTAGTGTTGATAGTTAAGTATGACTGGATACCGAGTTGGTCACCGGGACCGATCGCTCGGCTGAGTACACCCTCCTAAATTACGATACGTACTATGAGAGTTATAAGAGAAGTAATATATGAAGAGATGTTTCTATTGGGTGAAAAGTTGATAGTTATGTTTATTTACCAAAATTAACGGTACGTTTAACCTTTTCGATTAATATATATGAATATTGTAAAGTGCGTCCCGCCGCCGGAGATATCGGCGGACGCTGTTGATCATTTATGACTGTGTTGGTTTATATATAGTTTATGTCAGACGTTTTATCGTGTCCCGTCGATTTTAGTTCCGATGTTCCATGTCCTGTGCCCGCGTCCCACAAGTTTACGAATAATTATAATTTATCGCTGTGATTACATTTATAAATGTTGAAGTTAGGTAGTCTGAGGTAAGTGTGTCTTATTACATATAGAACTACGCTCGCAGCAATTTTTCTAAAAACTTCACCGATTTCTTACGTGTCCCTTTTAGTGTTTTGATAGCTGACGTAATATATGAGTGATACATTTTCTACAGTGATCACATTGCACTGAGTCGATTTTACGTTAGACTGTTGATGCCTTTCATACGATCGCTTGTACAGCTTTAGTTACTGAATATATGTTGTACCGCCTTGTGCAATCTAGTATAAACTTTAGCTGATAAATTATAGGTTCATATTAAATAGACTACTCGTGTCACAGCTAAATTAAGAAAATGGAGGCAGATGTCGCGATACCAGTAAATGTTAAAATCAATACGATACCTACTTATTTCTTCATCACATTGCGTGCATATAGCCTGGCATCTGTTAGTAGTACGGTTAGACATATATTGCCCATATTTCGACCCTTCTATGTATATTTTTGTATTGAATTTATATTTATTTTCGTTTCTAGTTACTATCTAAAAGGCAGCTAGTTTTTATATGTTCTATCGATTTATACTATTTGGCCGAGCTTATTATGGGAACAATATTGGTGTAGACTGTTTGTAATGTTTGAATGTGCACGCAATGTGATGTGACAACGTACTAACAAACCTGTCTCCAGTTTTATATTGTTAAAACACTAACATTGAATTATATGCGTGAGTATTATATTGCATGAATATTTCAAAGTATTTGTGTGAAAGGTTTATATCTATGTACTACTACGTACTATCTTATGTCGATTTTTTGTATTTTTCAAAAAATAACTCGACTAAATTGTTCTTATATCTAACATGCATATAATTCAATGTAAAATAAGTTACTACAAAGTCACATTAAGATATAAAACTGCCCATATACAATATAACATACGAAATGCCTTATTTCGCGTTACCTGTACTGTGTACCTACATTGTTGAATGGAATATAGTATATAGAAAATAAAATTAATCGATCTCAATTACCCGTAAGCGTTGTTAAAGCATAAATTAAGCGTTTCCGTTTATTGGGCATTCTTTTCGTTGATATATTCCAAAAAAATCGTTGTACAGTGTCCGTCTACGCCTTCAATGTTTGTCGCAAATAGAGTCTCGATTCGTCAACCATACATTCTCGTACGCTCATTCGTGTTACATTTAATCAGTGTTGCTATGTTTAAAAATTAATAATAAACTTTGAAAATTATCGAAGTTAATATAATTATTTTACATCCGTAACATTGGCAACACTGGTCATCGGCGCCGTTTCTTCACTATCATTCACATATAAAACGTAAGATAAATTTAAGTATCTGTCTGGTGCATGTTGAATGTGTCTTCTTTACACGCCACTGTGTTGTAAATTTACATATAGTAGGTATGTCTGAGCTTTTGGAAGCATTTCTTAATATACGTATAAATTCTGCGTGAGTCGATCGAGCTTGCACCGCGGGCCGCGCGCTAGTCCGCTTTTAATACATTTTCGACTTAGGGGAAGCCCGGGCAAGACGCATATGTTAAGGCATAGTGTAAATAAAACCACAATTTTAATAATCAATAGAATGCTTTGTACTTTTATTTTGTACTATGTTTAATCATCTTTGGAAAATAATCATTTAAATTAAAAAACTTTGACGATTTCTATAATAATTATGAGCTTTTACAAAAAGTATAAATTATCCGTTTTGCCCGGAGGGGTCGGGCAAAACGGATACGCCCTAAGGGCAAAAAGGATATGTTCAATTAGTTCAGATCAGTCTTGGCATTCATCACAGAAGTAGCTGCCAACTACTACATAAGAACTACAATCTTCATGTGCCCAACTTTTGCACTCATTACATTGAATCCAATCTTTCGCTGGTGGTTTAGTGTATTTGTCAGCGCACACTAAACAGTAAAAATCTGGTTTCAGGTTTTTGTTTTGTTGCTAGGCTGAGGATCTTTTAGTTTTAGTTTTTCTGGGGCCTTCTAACTCAGAAATCTTGGTCTTCTTAATATTTGCCTTCGTAAACTTTAATGCTTGTTCAGCTTTGACGGGAGTAGACGTCAACACGTCTGATTCCTGCCTTTTGTGTTTGCGGCCTGTTTTAGGAGCAGCCATAGTTGGAATAGATCTAATCTGAAATGGCGTAATGCTCGCTGCAGGCACTGGATGATTTTCTCCTAGTGAATGAGCAGATCCTTCTTCTAGTATATTGGAATCAGGCAAAGGTGTAGTTTACTTAACCTTTTAGTCTCTATTTCTACAATGATAAAGGACTGTGTGGAAGATTCAGCTACTGCGTACTTTGCGATAACATATGTGATTTCAAGTAGAAACGGGTCAGTCGTTATTGCTGTTGCCGGAGAATCATTTAAAGCTCAGTCGATCATAGTAGTCGTGTGGCATTAAAAAGATCTTTGGTCATTGTCGACGGTGATCATTTACAGGACCTTCAGTCTTATTAGACTGTGCGTCAGGAAGAGGACGGTCGGTCATAGTTGAAGGAGTGAGCATGATCTTCTTCTCCAAAAACATTTCACATCATAGGGGTAGATTCCCGGCTTTTTAAATCCATTAACTGCATTCTGAACCAAAGCACTTTTGGCGTATGCTACGCCAAATAGTTTTACCATATCAGACTAGTTTACAATACGGCCTGTGTGCATTTAAAGATGAGATGTATAGAATTAACATTAGTTGTCAAAAAACTGTTAAAATATTTCTTACTTAAAAAGGAGATAATGAAATAACTAAACGGGCAAAACGGATAGGTATCCGTTTTGCCCATATCCGTTTTGCCCAACACGCTAATATTAGTAACAAGTCAAGACTTGAAATGTTTTAGTAGGTAAACAAAAAGTAACGATTACAATTAATGATACTTAAATAAACGTGCAAAATAAATAAACAAAAATATTCATAGGCAACTGATGATTTATACAAAAAGTTTGTGTACAAATTTTCACAAAAATCGTAACAAAACAACGATAATCCTTTTTTTCTCCTTCTACAAAAAATGCACTCGCGTATTGTTTTGGTCAAACTGTCATGGCGTTACTCGGCGCACATGTCACGACTTGAGAAAGTGTTATAGCGCTATCTATTATATATTTCTAGAAAAATCAGTTATTCTTCTTACCCACACTATGCTTCTTGCCCGGGCTTCCCCTATATATAATTTTATTGTAGCAGTAGGCGATTTCTAAAATAGTTAACGAAGCACAAATGTCACTGGAGTGTCTTACGTGTCTCCGCTGTCAGGGGCGTATTGACAACACACACTGCCATTATAACGTATGTACACGTGCGATCTGGTATGATTGAGTCATTGCGGATTTTATATGACACCTTTAATAATAGAGTTATGAATCTAGGAGCGTTAGTGGTTTACCGTCACGAGTAACTTTACGCTATGATACGATGCCTTATAACTGAGATGCTCGCGCAGCCCTACAGCTGCTATGTATACTTTGCATCTCAAGTTTGTGACAAATATTACTGCCATTCGATAAGTAAATTGTTATAAATCATTCGACGCGTAGACTTCATAATGGATAGCTTCATAGTTAACGGACTCCGTCGGTGCACAGCCGGTCGTATTTGATACATATTATTCGGAATCGTAATAGATTTATTAAGTATGTAATAATCTCACACGAGAAAGTAATAAGTAATCGAGTACCCTAAGTATAATTTGTGTCTTAGCTGATAATGGAATAGTAGTTCGGTAATAAGTTTATATCGCTCGAGTTGGCGCGGCGAGTGCGTCCGAGTGGGACGGCACAGAACGAACACGGCTCGAACTGTGCGACACTACTTGCTAGACAAGTTGTAAGGAAGATGCTACCGGTACCCGTTGCCCATTAAAGGAGAACGGTTTACACCCAATAACTAAGTACTTGCTGGCCGACCAACTTTATACTTCCACTATTCCGTTACTTTTTTAAAAAGTACAACCATTTTCAAGACTATGATGTCAAGTTGCATAACTTTAAATGAATGTGAAACTACCCTACAAATTGGTATTTTTATATGTGATTGCTGTTTATATAACAAATGATAAATTTTGTTCGTAATCGTTTTTGTGATTTAAATCGGAACTTGGCATGGCATGAGCTTTACCTTTATTTTAAGTTAAGCAACTATAATGTCTTAATCATATTTATTAGGCTCTTGTAATTTTAAAATGTACAAATTTTGATTGATCGGTCGGTAGTCGAGTGGGGGTGAACCGTTTTCCTCTTTGCCTTTCCTCTGTTTAGTTAGTATCGGATCGAGTGCATTGAGAGTGACCAAACGTGGCACGTCCAGTCTATTGCGCGTACACGTGCGCGTGT